CCTTTTTCTCTCTCCCAGAATCATCTCAAACGGACGACAGTGATGAGGCCCAGCTCTATCAGTCCTGGTTCAGACTCGTCCTGGAGAAGAACAGACTGGCGCGCTACGAGTCTGAGCTCATGATCTTGTAAGCGACGGCATCGGGTCACACGGGGATCAGAGAGAGAAAGGGAAAACACAAATCGTGTTAACTAGCGCAGCTGAGTGGTCGACCTGTGTTGCGTTGCCGCTAGCAGCTTTCTTGAGAACCGCTCACGCAAACGACTTCGCGCTCAACACTGCGCCTCCTCAGCAATTCACCTGCCGTTACATAGTTGTCATGCAACTCTGGTTCAGGAAAAAACACCAGGGGCCCTCCAACTACAAGGGCCCCAAACAGCTATAGATGCATGATGTTGTTTAGATATGTAAATATAATATTGATTTATGTTACTGTGTGTTTGGTTGGTAAGTGAACTGCAGTGACGACATACTGGCTGCAGAGCCCTGAAGCCCTTCCTCCTGCTGCTGCATGTTATTCAAATTGAATATCGCGTTTCTAAAGATTTTTTATTGTAAAAGTGGTCGTATGGGTCTCCAGCAATAGTGTGAAGTCGATCAAATGAGCGGTTCCCAAGATATGCGAAGGACACACAGACGGAGCGTTATAGTTAAATGTTGTTGCCGTTCCTATTCTCACAACTCGGGGTCACCTGATATTTCTCCCCTCTCTCAGTGCCCAGGAGCTTGAACTGGAGGACACACAGAGCCGACTGCAGCGAGATCTACGACACAGGATGGCAACAGAAGGTGAGGGTCACAACAGACACAAACACCCGAAAGGTCGGACTTCAAATGGAACCTGAACTCCTTTCTCTTCCGCCTCCCTTCCAGACACAAAGAAGAGCGCCTTCGAGCTGCAGGAGGAGCAGGTGATCCTGTCGGAGATCATGAGGACGGTGGAGAGACGCGACGCGCTGGTGTCCGTGCTGGAGGTGCAGAGGCTGAAGGAGAGGGCCGAGGACCGGGACCTGGAGAGCCTCGTGCTGTCCAGGGGCTACGAGTTCCACTGGGCCACGGTGGATGACGACTGGGGGCGGGAAAAGTCGGAGTGAAGGTTGAACGCTGAGCGGTAAACGGGTAGAAAAGTAGCACAAGGCTCTACGTAACGCTATTTTTTACAGAAACAGTGGAATCAAACCATACTGGCTAGATCTAGATAATGGGGCAAGGATCGAAATGTCATGGAAGTCTAGGGGTTTGTTCACCCTAAAGAGGACAGCAGGGCTTTCATCTAGTCTCACTGTGTGCCGTTATGCTGAGGTCAGAGACAAATGGAAGGAAGAATGGAAAAGGAGCGGCTAATGACATCTCTGCCATTAAGGTCATTTGACCTCTGTGCTCAGAAGTGCTTCTGATGATGTGATTACCTTGTAACGTTTTCTGCCTCGTAAACCAAACTGACTGCCTGTGTGGTTGCCCGCCTTAAGAACGCCTTTGGAACGCCGTATAGCCTCACTGGATAGCACGTGGAACGACTCGACACTTTCCCTAAAGTTTGCACAACGTGGTTTGTTTGAAACTTATGTCATAAAATACAGAATTTTTTGCTTTATGTCATGCACTGTTTGTCACTTTGTAGCTGTGTGTGTGTGTGTGTGTGTGTGTGTGTGTGTGTGTGTGTGTGTGTGTGTGTGTGTGTGTGTGTGTGTGTGTGTGTGTGT